GTAGTCATTAATTGCTTGGCACTTTTGCGTGAAGGATCCATCTCTGCTCTCCCCCTCCCCGTATGGGAGCTCTGTGATGGCCAGTATAGTTGGACATCATATATGGCAACTCTGAGCTCCAAGAGACCCAGAATAAGGCAGCAGGTGTCTCAGGACCTGTCGGTGGAAGTCCTATGTTACATCCACTGCACTCTACTGATCAAATGGGTCTGCCTTCAGGGCAAGGGGACCCAAGCTCCACCTCCTGGTAATGTGTGGAGCCCCAACCCCAAGCCCCAGGCTCTGACTGTGCACCCAACAGGGAAGGAGGGGCAAAGGATTTGCGGCCACCTTTAATGGGACACACCTACCTCTCAGGGTTGTTGAGAGGATTAAATGTGATGATTTATACCAAGTGTTTGGTGCATTTTTGCACATTGGGAAAGACATCTCTTCCACTGGGTGGATACAGCTATTTGGCAAGCAGAGATGGGGCTGGGATTTAGGCCTCTCTTGCCTTCCCAGCTAGGGGGCCTTGGGCAGGACACAACCTGCACATCTGTACACCAACTCCCCTGACACACAGAAAACCCAGGACATGATATCTGATGTTTAAAATAGCTGGTGCTATCCCTGTTACGAGCATCAGGGGTTTGGCCAATCTATGATCTATTCTGTGTTGTTTTGGTTTGTTTTTTACTGGTGGGTGATTGAACCCAAGTCCTTCACACTGGGCTACATCTGCAGGCCTTTTGAAAAGTGCTTTATGTTGAGGTAGGGTTTTGCTGAGTTGTTAAATTGCCCAAGCTGAGCTAGAACTTGTGATCCTCCTGCTTCAGCCTCCCGGAGTGCTGGAACTACAGGTGTGCACCACCATGCCTCAGCAAGCTGGTGGCCCCTTCTGAAAGCCAACCCTAACCCCCACCGTGATCTTCATTCCTTCATCCCAGTCCCTGCTGGCTTGCAGGGGACCCGAGCTGAGCTGCTCAGACTCTCCCTAGAATCCGAATCTTACGCAGTGTGGAGCACAGACCAGTGATTATCAAAACCTTCTCATCCCAGAGAGGTTCCTGAGAGCAATGGTGAGCGTCAGGCGTCCAAATCGTTCCCGTACCCTCTCACTGCCACTGCCCAACTTTCCCACCTTCCAATCCAGGTCTCTTTTGCTGAACCCCCCCCCCCAGTAAAACTGGGAACCCCAGAGGCTGGCAGGGCAAGAGATTACTTAAGCAAAGCTTGTGGGGACATTTCAGGGCTAAGCAGGAGGGCCCATGGCTGAGGAGAGGGTGTCGGGGTGTCTGTCCCCCAAGCCAAACATTGGAACAGCAGCTCCCTGGATCAATAAGCTCGCGTGAGTGTTTCTCACTCCCTGGAGTCCCAGTGTGTTTCCAGCCTATGGTGCCGGTGCCGTTCTGAGCCCCCAAATCCAGACTCGGGGAGCAGTAATCCCTTCAAAAGAGTTTTTAAAGTAGAGGGCGGAGCCCTAGGTGCTTTTTACAAGGCTAAGAAGAAGAAGAAGAAGAAGAAGAAGGAAAAAAAAAAAAAGAATTACATTAAACACACACGCACATGCACACACGCTTGCTCGGCTCTGCCCACGGGGGCGAAACACAGCAATTACTCTCCACTCCCCAAGTCGGGAGTGGTTTGTGGGCTGCCGAGGGGGAGAGGTTATTTATGGCCCTGGAAGGAGGGAGGCGCTTTCAGGCCCTGCCCCTGCCCAGCAAGGGGCCCCCAGCCCCAGGGCAGTTTCCTTCCACCACCCCATGCCCCCCACTCCCTTCCCCACACGCCCCCCCTGCCCCCCACTCCCCGGCTCAGCATTGCTTCCACTGAGCAGGGTAGGCGCAGGGGACCACTCCACTCCACGGGCACAGGAGAAAAGAGAAAGAACTAAGTGAGCGGTGAGGAGGCGGGGAGCTGCTGCGACTGGGGTTGCTTTGAAGTCTTAGGCGCTGAAGTGTCGTAAATTTTCTGGTGAAAGCGATGGAGATAATCAACCCAGCTCCTCACCTCACCTCGGGATTTTCAGCTCCGGTTCATCTTGCGCACCCTGGAAGCTCCCTGCTGCCCTCCCAGCTCCCTCAGGCCTCTTCCAGGCCACCCCGTATTTCAAAAGGCAAATATTCTTTGCCGCGCTTGGCCCGTGGCTTAGAGATGCCCACCTTGCATTTGCCCCATGATGTCTTTCCAGCCTAGGTGGCCACACCTGTCCAAGGCGCCCGGCGGGATCCATCTCAAGGGCCAGCTAGCCAGGTGACTCAGCTGCAAGTCAGCATCTCTGAATCCCAGGGGTTACGTCTGGGCAGTGAGGAAGAACGCCTGGAGGGAAAGATGCTGAGAAACGCAGGTGTGCGGGAAGGGGGCAGGTAGGCCTGGGCGCCAGGTGGGTGCCTTTACCTTTCCCACAGAAACAGCATTCCGGGAGTGCTCGCGGCTCCTACAGCGATGGCTCCCAATCCTGTCTGTGACCCAGAACCAAGCAGAGAGCTGGAAACAAGGCCCATGTGCAGACAGCCCCGCTGGCCCTGGGTCAGGGCTCTGCAGAAGGCCCAGGCGTTGGGGCCGCCACAGAGCGTGAAGGTGTTGATACAGTGCAGACAGCTGTGCGGCTGGCATCACAGAGTCCATCCGGCTTGGAGGTTGCCCAGCCCAGCTGTTGACATCCTGGGGACAGGTGCTGTCTCGCTACCTCCACCGGCTGCACCAGCATCGTACAGGAGGAGCCCAGGATGCTGCCCCTGCACACAGCCGTGGAGTCGCACTAAGCCAGCTGGGGTGTCCCCTCTGGGGGAGGGGTCCCTGGTGTGCCCTGTGCAAGTCAAGGACCTTCCCTGTTGATCCCACGTCCCCTGCCTGGCCCAGATGAAGCTTAGCCCTGCACTGCTGCACAGCTTTTCTGTCTGTCTGTGCCCACTGTGCTCACAACTATGTCCTTGTAAGGACAGCCCTGCTGGGAACTCTCGGGGGCACTGGTGGAAGGGACCTCATTGCTGCCCACTCCCACTCCAACACCCACCTGACTGCCCAGATATGCCAGACCCACCTCCCAGCTTGGCAAACTCGGGGCCCTCTGCTTCCAGCCCCAGGATCGGCTGACAATGCACATCTGAGAATGACAGAACCTGAGGGCAGCTGAGGCTCTGTCTCTCTGACCCTACCTCCCTTGGCTCCTCTCCCCACCCCCACCTGAGTTATACCATGCAGTACGGTCTTGGGGGAAACAGCTTGGGCTTAGGAGTTACAGAGCCCTGAGCTCAGACTGTATCATATAAGAGCCATGCGATCTTGGGCTCACTCAACCTCTGTCCCTTCCACCTGTACGTCTTCAGCAGAAGGGTCACTATGTCCAATTTGCAGGGTTTCTCTTAGGGCTGCCAACGAAAGAGCAAATATTTCACAGGGCTGGGTGCTGGCTTCGGCTTCTGTGCTAGCTGCAGAGGGTTCCACCCCCTGACAGAGAGATGTTAAAATGCCCCGGGTTTCACAGCTGTGAGTGGAAGCTTAGAAAGGCTGAGTTCATTGTCTGAGACAGCCCCACACTACCTCCAGAACATTTGCAAAACTCTCAACCCAAACTTGCGGACATAGTAATGGCTCAGGAAATGCATATTCCCTTCCTTCTCCTCCATAGCTTCACCCATCATGACTGCTACCCAAGGGGCAAGAGACCACTCCGAGGAGGCCAGCTCCCTCAGTTGTTGATAACTAACATCTCCAGCACCCCTGGTTGCTGGCTGGGTGCTTTATTCCTACCTCAGCACATCCCAGAAAGGTGGAGCTGATGCTCCATCGGGCTGGTCAGGTGGGGTCCTGCTAATGGAGGGGGGAGTCTCTTCCCCGGCCTCACTGCCCTAGTCGATTTGCATTGATCCCTGCTCAGCTGATGAGAGCCGTCTTTCAAAGTTTATTCTGGTGTCAATTTTTATAGTTCCCCCCGCAGATCAATAGCATGCAAAAACATTAAGGCAAACTTTGTCAAAAGCCAATCGTTCAATATGAGTTTTATGAATGGCTCCTGGCCCTGGCTCCAAGCATTTGGAAGTAAGTGGTACCTTTAATCAGCTGAGTGACAGGAGCCTGTCTGCAAGGATGCTTCCTCAGCCCCTCACTCCTTTCATCAAACGTGCATGTCTTCCACGGGCAGGAGAGCAGTCAGGAGCTGGGCCTTAAGGGTAAAGAAACTGAATTAGAAATAGAGAACAGCGGTGCTCCCAGATGTGTCGCAGCAAGGGGATACGCAAGTAAACGTAAGAAACGATGTTCGCCTTCACTGATGACAAAAGAACTGCTCATTGTAAGCAAAAGGAGATATTCCCTCCATCACCACCACAGGTTTGGCAGGTTTGGAAAAATAAGTGTTGTTGAACAGTAGTGGCTCTTAGCTTCTGCTACTGGCAGGGGAAGGTGATTTCAACCCAATTTGAAGAGGGACTTAGAATTGCCTTGCAAGTATACACTGTGCGTGTGCTACTAACCAGGCGTACAGGCGCAGGCTGGATGCAGAGGCAGTCACTCCAGCGCGTATCTCAGTATTCCCACCAGAGGACGTTCACTGCGCTCTTGTTTAGACTAGGAAACATAAAAGCAACTTGGATGGCCATAATAAAAGAGATGACTAAACCGTCATCTTGGCATCATAAAGAAAAATACTGGGCCAGTGAGATAGCTCAGCAGACTAAGAGCTTGCTTAGGCAAACACAGGAAGCAGGGTTTAATCCCCACCCAGCACCACATGCCATGAGGCCCTGCCCCTGGGCACGCCGAGACCAAGACTGAGACTGGGTGAGGTGGCCCATGCCTGTAATCCCACCACTGGGGAGGCTGAAAACAGGAGGATCACTATGAATTCAAGCTATGTAGTGAGACTCTGTACCGAGTACTACATTAGGAAATAAATAAATAAAAATCTTACGCGTGTGCATGCAAGGCTTGAGACCAAACGATGAATGGAATTGTTCAGGAAGGGTATTTGTACAGTACAAGACTGTGTAAGATATTTAAAAACACACCAAGCGGCTTTTCAAGATGGCGATGGAGGGAGGAGGGAAGGAGATGAACGAGATTAAGACCCAATTCACCACCCGGGAAGGTCTGTACAAGCAGCTGCAGCATTCGGAGTACAGCCGGCCCAACCGGGTGCCCTTCAACTCGCAGGGATCCAACCCTGTCCGCGTCTCCTTCATAAACCTCAACGACCAGTCTGGCAACGGCGACCGCCTCTGCTTCAATGTGGGCCGGGAGCTCTACTTCTATATCTACAAGGGGGTCCGCAAGGCTGCTGACTTGAGTAAACCAATCGATAAAAGGATATACAAAGGAACACAGCCTACTTGTCATGACTTCAACCACCTAACAGCCACAGCGGAGAGTGTCTCTCTCCTAGTGGGCTTTTCTGCAGGCCAAGTCCAGCTTATAGACCCAATCAAAAAAGAAACTAGCAAACTATTTAATGAGGAAA